TCATATAATCTTTGTATCCCTGAATGTAATTACGAATTTTACGAGATGTCCCAGGTTGACGACCTTATCCAACCTCATGGTAGGGTTCAACACTGAACCAATCAAGACACCCTGATTTGGTTGTGGTTAGTTCCTTAGTTAAAAAAATATATTTACTCTATTTATTTTTAATGTGAATTGAGATCGTGAAAAAAAAGTGAGTTTTAAACTTTTTTTTTTCTTTATTAGCAACATGCATTTCTTCTTTTTAATTTATATTAAAAATTAATAACATATTTAATTAATTTGAAATAAATTGATATCCATTTTATATTTTTATTATAATATTTTAATTTTTATTAATTGATTTATATAAATATTTAATTTATATAATTTTAAATAATAATTAAAATTTTATAAATTTAAATTAACACAATAAATATATTATATTTTTAAAAACCCGTGCGTTGCATGGTCCAAATCCTAGTTAAGTTGAAAATGGGGACGAAGAATAAGGAGAGTAATATACAGATCTGATTGGCCACCTTTCGAAAAGTGATTGGCCGTTTCTATGAATGACGTGGCAGTGAGTGAATGGTATCTGAAATTGTTTATTTGCTTTGGTATTGTATTGGAGAACTCAGATTATTATTATTTTCGCGTTGGAATCCTAAACAAATACGATAAATTTGTTAGAATCCACTAACTCTCTAAACAACATTTTTTATGTTACCACTTTATTTCATTAACCTATTTGATTAGGAATTGGTCCTTATTCCATTTCGTGGTAATACACACATTTATATCTAACCACTCAAATTGGACTTAAAGTAATAAATATGACCTAAAAACTGCTCAATGTTAAGAACCTATAAATATATGTTCTATTTTAGATTTTTAGTTGTAGAAAATTATGATATTATACCTTTTCAATATTATTTTTTATATTTTAATAATTAAAATCATTTTATTGATTCTCGTTTAACTCATTATATCATCATGTAATTTTGAAAACATTGATAATAAATATTAGGTTTAAACCCTCATTTAGTTTTCGTATTTGTATGTCAATCTTAAGTGGGTCCTTGTTTTTTTTTCGGTCTCAATCGGGTCCATAAACTTGTAAATATGAGTCAATTAAGTTCATTCCGTTAAGTTTTCATTGACGCCGTTTAACTGTGATGACGTGGTGCACATATATGTATGCATCTTATATTACATGAAATTTTTTATTTAATTTGTTATTAAGTCTTGTACAACTGTTATATGACTTGTTATGTTATATTTTTTAATGGTTCAGATTAAGAATTTCTTCATATTAAGATATTAAGGTTCGCTTTCTACCACGGTTCAATGGATCAGGGCTTTGATTCTGTACTTTCATTGATGGGTCCAAACGTCGCTTCATAGCCCTTGGTCAAAAACCTTGCACCAATCCCACCGCCCTCTTCCAACCACCACATGTTTCACCCTCGCTGCTTCCGCCGCGAAAATCGTTGCCCAAGCAGAAGCCTGTCCCACTCTCCAATCTGAGGTTCTCTTCTCACTTTTCGCTCCCAAACATTCAAATAATGCTTTCAATTTCTCTCATTTATCCACCTCTTTTAGAATTAGAAAAAAAATCTCTTATTTATATATAACTTTTTTTTGTGATTAATAGAAGCTTGGAGTGGTTGTGAAGGCAACAGAGAAACCAAAACTTGTGTTGAAGTTCATTTGGATGGAGAAGAACATTGGAATTGCACTTGACCAGACGATACTGGGGCATGACACTATTCCCCTGAGCCCGTATTACTTTTGGCCCAGAAAAGATGCTTGGGAAGAGCTCAAGGAGTTGCTTGAGAAGGCCTTGGATCTCCCAAAAGCAGATGATTATTCTACTCAATCAAGCCACTATCAATTTGTGGCAACAGAGTGGTGGCAACTTATCCTAATCCCAATTTTGCTTTTCGACAATATTTCAAACATATTTTGCTCCTGTCTTATTGGGTTGGGATAATCGGTGATGTTTTGTAATAATGAGATGTTTCTCTGGTTAATGTTCATGTTTTTTCTGTTATATGTTCTTTATCTGGCTTTGTAGAAGCTTAATTAATATTATTATTAATCAACTTATCCCAAAGTTCTCTCAGACATTTGGTTCCCGTCTGTCGCATTTTAATCTGAATTGGATTTTAAGTATTCTGGAACAAAACCTTGGATGCAAGGTGTGGATATTCTTATGAAATTTTTGAGGTCATAATGCAGAAGTACAAGCTGTAGGACAGATGGAGCTGTCACTATAGAATCTAATTTTTCTTAAGAATTTAGAAATAAAACCAGCACAATATTGATTATTATCCTGACTTAAGAATGGAGTAATAGAGTGTCCTAGTGGATCCTTATCTTAGCAGGTCTCCCACTTATGTCACAGCGGTAGAATCTTTTGCCCCAAATAATTAATAGTTTAATTAAGGCGTTGTTTGGATGAGAAGAACAAAGGCATGAAGTTAGGGTGACTTGAAAGATGAAGAAGAAGTGAGAGTGAGAGTGAAATAGTGTGAATGGCATCATCGTCGTCGGCGTTCATGGTGATCTGCATCCTGCACTCGCTCATAGCGGTCACATGCGGGGCGTTGATGATGTTCTACATGAAGGAGGTCTACACATTCGACCACGGAGTTTAGACCGCCACCAAGCTCTTGGGATCGACGCCACACGATCAGCTCCTCATCAATACTTGATTTCTCCGACCTTCTCCTCATCGCCATTGGCTTCCTCCTCTTCATGGTCTCCTTCGTTAGGGATCACGATTTTCAAGTCTTCTTCGCCAACGGCTGCACGCTTCTCCACCTCTTCATGGCCATGTGGAGGATCTACTTTGAAGGCAAGGTCGAGGATCTTTCATGTGGAGGCCATCAATGAAAGTACAAAATCAAAGTCCCAATCCATTGCAACCATCGTAGAACGTGAACCCTAATCTCTTAATCTGAAGAAATTCCTAATCTTAACCATTAAATAATATAGTTGTACAAGACTTAATAACAAATTAAATAAAAAATCCCACGTCATATAAGATGTATACATATGTGTGCACCACGTCATCACAGTTAGACGACGTCAATGAAAACTTAACAAAGATGACTTAATTGACTCATTTTTACAAGTTTATGGACCCGTTGATACCGAAAAAAAAAGAGGACCCACTTGAGATTGACACACAGATACAGGGACCAAATGAGGGTTTAAACCTATTACGAAGTAAAATTCAACACTAATAATAAATAATATAATGTATATCGAATAGACAATAAATCTTACCATAAATCGATTTGTAAGGTGAAATGTTTGCACTCACTTATATAGTATAAAATCGGGTTACCTCTTGTTGATGTAGGACATCCAACACACTCCTTTACATTGAAGTTTATAAATCTCAAGTATAAGATTAGATATTACAAGATTATCATATATAACGACTCTATTTGTAGTCAATGTGGGATCCCTAACAAAGAGTGAGATGTCTTCCCTAGTGAAGATATATTTGAGGGAGAGTGAGTGAATGAATTTAAAAATAAAATGTGTGTTTTTTTAAGGAATTTGAAGGTAATAGAGAATAAATTTAAAAGTAAAGTTTGTGAGTAGTTTGATTGATGTACAAATTAAAAAATATTTTAATAGATAGAAAATGAAGGTTGCTAAATTTGCTATTATTGCGATTGGTTGAAAATAATTTTAATTAAATATTAAATTATAAAAAATTAATTATAGAATTAAGTATTTATTATAAAAAAATTTCATTATCACACAATTAATAAAATAAATTAGAATAGGATGAAATGTAAAATCATTTGCCAATAAGGCAATAATACAATAAGTTTTATTATAGTGAACTTTAGGATTTTTTGATTTAGTAGTTGAAATATATCCTTGTCACATAAAACAAAACAAATCATTCTATATGATTAGAACCAATTTCACGAAATATCATACCCATTTTCACAAAACATTAACCATTTCCACGAAATATCATAATCGATTTCATGCATGTTGGAATCAATTTCAACTTCCCATCATATTCATAGAATCAATTCTAGTTTCAACATAATTGATTCCCACATCTATGGAATCGATTCCAGTCTCTTCCTTCGCCATGAATCAATAGAACCATGTACCCTTCCTTCACCACCATGGAAACTCATATCCCACACTTGTGGGTTGTATTCCACCAACCATGCACCACATACACGATACGTACGTCAAGAAGGCATGATTACAACGATGATTTAATTGTCTTTGAATCACTCTTAAATTGCCTTAGTTGAAGCGATTAAAAAATCTCATAATCTCACTAATCTTCTCATTTTTTCATCCTCAAATCCATGAATTTGAACACAAATTTCACTTGTAAATAATTTTCTCTGTCACTTTCAATAGAAAATTATTGCAAGTGAACTAAACCTTAGTTATAATTTCTTGAAAAAAGTCACGTAAGTTTCAATTTTTATGTGTTAGTTGACCAACTTTAATTTATATATATATATATATATATATATATATATATATATATATATATATATATATATATATATATATATATATAATTAAACAAAATTACGTGATTTATCTTGAAAAAAAGTTACTAAATTAGACTGAAAAAAAAAATAACGGAAACTTGAGAACGTAACATGCAGGTATTTGGTTGATGAATAGATATCTTAGTTTTAATTGAAATTAAGTAAATGCGTTGTACTAATGGTGCGGAAGAACTGATAGGCGTTTAATCTTAGTTTGAAAGCTTTGATAAGCTAATCTGGTTTGGTGGTTACATTACATCTATGTAAAGTGACGACAGAGTTTGATATTGAAACGAATATAATATTATAATGAGGTGATTATGGTATGAACATTAATGGAGCATGGATGTCGTCATATGGTACGAAAACTGAGATTGAAAACATGACTTAGACCTCGTACAAGACAACTTCTGTGTTGATGTTCATATACATCTTACCACTCATTTCACTCTCCCCTTGATTTTTGGGAGAACAGGTTACTAGGATTTCTTCCCCCTCCACCTTGCTGCTGCAGAATCTACGATGTCATTCTACATCTGTTGTCAACAAACAACTTCTTATAATTATTGTTGCACATATGCACCAGCGTTTTAGGCTAATATACTACATTTTTTTTCAAGACAAGTTATTCAAGAGTGTTTATAAATTATCTCTTTCATACAATTCTTTTTAATTTTATCATTTTTATAGAAATTTAAGGTATTTTGAATTTTTTTTATTTGATGGATTAACATAATAATTAAAACATTGCATTCATAGATGAAATAATACATATAATAAGGATTTTAGGATTAGTTCTGAAATTAGCTATAAATGATTATAAATCATTAATAATTAGTTATATATCACCAATCAGAGGGGCTCAAGAAAAGCTTTTACTTTGATACTTTAAGGAATAAAAAACGATGTTTTCTTATTTTCACACTTTACCTCCATTCAATTATCCAATTAATTAATTTCAAGTGTATTTTTTTCACAACAATAAAGAACCCGCCATTACTTTCAATGTCTTATATAACTCAAAAAATACATGTTTATAACTACATCGAGCATGATTATGAGATTGTAACATGATCACTACACATCACAAAGTTGACATTTCCTTACTAAATCATAATGTCTTACCTATTTATAATACGCGTTGAATAAATATCCAGTTCCGAATCCACATTCAATAAGAATTTAATATAAATTGTTTCTTCTTTAGTGATTTAATATGAATTTGATATGAGTGTGTGTATTTATAGATGCATTAAGATTAATTGAAATGAAAATGAAAGGAAAGTGTTTATTTGTAAAAGTATTAAGATTTAAATATTAATAGAACAAATTTAAAGTTTAATGTATCTTACTATTGACATAATAAAGTTTTAAGAGTCAATGAAGATAAAAAATAAAAATACAAATTGTCTAATTACAAAATAAATTAAGTTTAAAAGATCTAAATATTATTTTCCCAAAAAGAAATAATTAAATCTCACAATCCTAATACTTAAAAAAAAATAAAATCCTACTAAACCAAACTTTAAGTGTTGATTAATACTATATAAAACATGCTGCTTTCTTGTCTTGTACCATTCATGAGATCCATTTTATAAGGAAACAAAATTCCATAAACACCCACTACAAAAAAAAATCATTAAATAATAATTAATTTTAGAGATAAAAAATAATTAGTCATTATATTAATTAATTTACATAACTTTTTATGAACTAAATATTATTGGTATTTAAAATAGTTACTATTATGAATGAAAAATTATAATTAGTTTATGAATTAAATTATAAAATGGTATCTAACATTATCTTGGTTTTATCTACCAAAAAATTAGTTTCTAATTTAAAATTAGGGACTACTTTAGAATCAATAATAGTAGGTAAATAAAACTTTGCTAATGTTAGAAGCAAATTTAGAATCTAATTCCCAAACTAATTATAATTTTTTTATATAGAGATTATTTTAAATACTAATAATTTTTAGTTTATAAAATAGTATTTAACTTAGTGAATATAGTGATTAATTATTTTGATATCTAAACTTGATTGTTATTTAATGATTTTTTGGTAGTGAGTTCTTAATCGTTATTCAATTATTTTATATTTTAAAGTGAAAATATTATTTTGTTGGTATGATTTTTTTACATGATTTGCAAGCTGTCTGTCTGCAGTTTTAGGGCAATTAGCAATATTGTTATATTGATCTTGACTTAAAAAAGGTGTGCGACATTATAAGCCATTATTAGGTGTAGTTATTGGTTGCATAAGTTATGTTTTTCTTTGGAAAACTTCATAATTAGTCACATGTGCACCCAGCTTTATATTTCATTGTAGTAAAACCTACTAGTGGGGTACCACTGTATATGGACAGTTTTAGTTATATTTTAGAACTATTTTTAACTTATATTAAGTCCCTGCAATTAACGACAAAAACCTAATTAAGAAAATAAATGTACGTTCAGAAACAAAGCTTTTGTTTTTAATTTACTTGGGTGTGGTAGATTCTCCTAATAACTGCATATAACACATGCCATGGAGTCACCAACTTTTTGTTTGACTGCCACAAAGACAACTTGTC